AAAACTTAACTTTTCTTTTATTTAATAACCTGATTTTTAATAGAAATTGAAGATAAGAGTTTAAGTGACTAATTTCCAAGTTAATGAAGGTAATTACCATCTATTTGTATTTTAGGGTTGTAAGTAATATTAACTTTATAATAAAATTTGTGCAGACTAGACTGACAAGAATGTCCTTTTAACCATTAAATGTAAAATAAAAATTATTTCTTATATTCAAATAAATAAATATACTATATAATCCAATTCTAACCAATAAATAAATATACTTCAAAATAGTTTGATTATAGTACTAGATTAATTTTAACCCTCTTATCCCAAGGCCTGAAAAGCAGAAGAGGGCTCATCACTCATCAATAGCGTTAAAATTATCACATCTCATAACCCAATTCTATTATGACTTATGTGTTTAATTTGACACTATAGTTGAATCTTGGCTAAATATTGTGTTTGAGTCTGGAGACTATAATTTGAACATCAGTTATATATTGTGTATTTGTATTATTGGTTAATTGAATACTTTGCATTTGAAATGTTATGTTGATTTTAACCAGGTAGTCCATAAAAGTGTTAAAACTAAGATTGATATTGCCGTATTTTTCAAAACGTATTATTGACAATGCACTTTATTAAACCCGTAAATACCCGTACCATATTTTTCCCGTATCCGAATTTCATAGCCGAATTTTTATAAACGTATTTTTCACCGTTTATCGTATTATACCCGTATAATTCCCGTACCATTTTTTTGTCGTACCCGTATTTACTAACTAGGCCCACAACTGCTTTTTTTTCTTAGTTTTCTAGCCCATAGTTTTTGCTTAGTGGCACGAGCAACAGTGGGCCGAGAAGCTTCTCCATGTCACTCTATGGGTGTTCGCGGGCCAATTTGTATCCCTCAAGTGGGGATATCGCTAGGGATCGCCTCGGCTGGCTTAGTTGGGGCGACCCAAGGAAATACAAACCCTCTGGTCTTCGTCGTTGACCTTGGAACCCTGGGTGGTATGGTCGTTGCACGCCATGAAAACATGTTAGCGAAAAGGTTGCCACAGACAAAAGAAAGAGGTTCTAAGTGTGAGGATACTTACGAACTAAGGGTTCCAGAGACGCTTTTGGATTGAAAAAATTGTACTTTCTTATGTTGGCAATAGTCACGAGCAGTCTTGCATCGCGACTCTGCTTTACCGAATGCCACAATTCGGTTGAAATATGTCAAAGCCATCAATCTAGTCGTCTTATTTCCTACAATGAGACAAAAAGTTTGTTAGAAACAAAAGCTGAAGAAAAAGGAACAGTTTGCAAATTGAAGGAAAGGAAAACCTACTCGGCTCCCTAAACTGGTAGATGCCATTATACTCAAAAAAGAAAAATTTGGTCTCATAAGCCTCAACGTTACTGGGGTAACCAAATATTCCTCCCTCGATCATAAATCGTTTCGAGAGTTAAAAAGAGTCTTTGTCCTTGCTTTTTTTCAGATAGTAAGCGCATGCGAGCTCCGACGCTGTCAGTTCGCCAAGGCTGTTTTTGCCACATACGATATATATAGCGACAACTATCATATACGCATTAGGCGTCAATTACAATTGCGCGACCTCGAAGTGGTCGAGGATCAATCTAATGAAAGGATGAAAATGTATCAACGCCTCGCATTTAAAGATCGCCTCAGAGATCGCGGTCATTCTCTTTGGGGGATTTCGAGCTGCATATGTCCTATGCTGGTAGACATCCACACTAAGTGCGTACTGGTCCAGTGCTTTCTGTATCTTGTCCCGAGTGCCCACTGACAAGGTCTCTTGCACGGGACCTGCTGGGGCACCCGGCGCCTGTGAGCTCGTCCCCTCGGCTGCCCTGGTCATAGAGGTATCCATTTCTCCTAAAGTCTGAAAAAGGGGCGACATGTAGAGATAGCTTAGTCTCCGTACAGTGTTCCATACGATGACATGGAAGAAACCCTAATATGCCTTCCTAAACTCCTAGAAAAACCCTAAAAACCCTTGGGAATGAATCCCCAAGGATTCGTGCCCTAACTTCTCACTCTTTATGAAGAAAAAAGCCCTCTTCTCACCACTTTCCGAAAACACGCATCATGAAAGCTTGTCAGACAGTTCATACCCACCATTACTGCAACAGTTAAGCAATTAACAACATAATAAAAGAAAACGAAAGAGAAATCCTCATTACCTCTTGGTCACTGGGAATGAACTTCTTGTCGTAACGGAGAATGTGCATCAACTGGAAGAAGGTTAGACTGACTTCGTGAGAGTTTTGTTTTTTCTCTGAAAATATGAGTTATGTGACAAAACTTGAAGCGAGCCCGGGGTTTTATAGGGGGAAAAACGACGATTGCTTTTCCTAGGCAAGCAATGCTTGGGTGGGATACGTTTCTCACCATTGATTGCGACTATGTGTCGTTAATCTGCGAGAAAAAGTAACCTCCACGCTTCGTGAATACCAATCGACGCTTCCCTCCATTGGAGCAACCAAGCATCAGCGCGATTATCTCCTCCATATTAAATGGGCCCTCATCTGCATTTAATGCTCAGAAAGAGAATGTCGTTTCAGCATGACTTGCATTTAATGCGCATGGTTGGCACTTATTGCACATTAGACACGTCTGTCAAAATAAAGATTATTTTATTGACCAGACTAGTTGTCAAGCGCAACAGATAACATCTAAAGAGGTTGTTCGAGTAAAACACTCTTCACTGTGTATCGGTTTCAAGACGATGTGATTCCTTGCTATCGGTAAAAATGTGCTAAGTATTCTCAGGTCACAAGCTGCGGATGAGATTCAAAGCATGTCGGTACGACACTAAGTAGGGTCTGACCCAGGTTGTTGAACCAGTGGGAGAAGGCCACCTTAGGTCGCTTGTGCTATTCTCAGAGACATATGCTGCGACCTCCTTGCGACTCGATTAGCTCGACCAAACGTTATTCGGGACAAGTCAAGTTGCTGCATAATCATGAAGTTCTCAAGGTTCAATCCTTAAACCTTAAAAATTGGGGGGCTTCTGTTATGCCTAAAAAGTCAGGGTTGACATGGACTCTTGTCAGCAAGAGCCAATTAGAATTCAGGGAGGCTTCGTGCCGTTTAGACGTTGCCACGTCGCACAATAACGGAAGAGGTATAGTACTCGTCAGTTCAACAGGTGAATGTCAGGCTTGCGAGTGGCTAGGAATCATCCACCTGCCCAAGCCCTACGCAATTAAAGGATGTCTCTCGTGTAGACAACTAATGGGAAGCGGGTTAGGAATTGTTCCATACCTGCCGGACTGTAGGCTTATGATTATTACCTTGAATCCTCTCACTTTAACTAGGGGGCTCCTCTCTCATTTACAAGATTGACTTATTTTTAGTCTTAAACAACATACTCTCTCTCTCTCTCTCTCTCTCTCTCTCTCTATATATATATATATATTCTCTCTAGATTGTAAGTTAGCTCGCTACATGCGAGTTGATTGTAACCACCTATTAATACAACTACAATGGACGTAGGATTCGCTTTTGAGCATCCGAACCACTTTAAAAACCGTCTTTTATATTTTCTCTTGCTACATATTTCCGTGTAACTTCTAAGCCCGCTTAGCACTTTACACGTGTGAGTCGTTGGTGTCAAAATCAAGCATCAACATAAAGAAATCCTCTGTACTTGGGAGCCTCTTTAGTCTCCTTGGTGAATTGGGGGCAATGGTTCAACCCCACTTACCACCACCTATGTTATAAAAGAAGGCCAAGGAGTGACGATGTCTTCCTTTTTGTCTAACCACCCGGTGACTTGCGCTTTTGAATTTGTCGTTGCTCAATACCTAAACATGACGTGAAAAAAGATTTAGAGATTTTCCTATTGCATATAGCTTAAATGTGTAGTATAAAAATAGTTATAATTAGTACCTGGATAATGTCTCCGACCTTGACGACAAGTGTGTCCTCCATGGGAGTTGCTGGCATCCATTCCCCATCCTTTTGGACCTCAAGTCCTCCAACTTCATCCTGAAACACAAAAGTGATGAAATTCACATCTTCACTAATTAGTATGAGAAGATCTCCTTTAATGCCTCCCTGAGATTATATTTAAGAAACATATACATTTTGAACATTCATTCACATGAAAAACATAAAAAAAAAAAAAAAAAAAAAGTGTTTTAAAGAACTAAATGAAACCAAAGAGAGTACCTGTACCCTGATGGGGAACTGGGATATACGTTGAAGGTTGAACCTGGTGGAAACATGAGCAAGTATTCATATTCTTGTCAGCCGAGCGTTCGGGCTGCTTAGCATACCCAGCTGGAAGAGGTGCACCAGGTTCAGGACTGGACTTGAGTTTTTCCTCATCTGGGTACTCGAAAAAAGTTTCAGACAGTGCAAGAGCTCGTCGCATTATGTCAATAGGCACACCATGATTAGCAATTTGGAAAAAAACCAATCTCAGAGCAAGCATGGCCAATCGTTTTCATGGCGTTGATCTTGGCTTTCTCATCTCCTTCTTTGAAGAATGAAAGAGATCAACGGTTTGTATACCTGAGCTAACCATTTTGATTGACTTTCGCTTACTTACTATATCTCCTGTATGTTACTCCCACTAGTATTAAAATTAACATGAGAATACTGTTGAAAACCATTGTTTTTGTCAACTTCTCAAGATATTGGGAAAGAAGCAAAAAGAACTGTCGTTACACTGGTTCTCGTTGACAACCTGTATGTTACTCCCACTTCTCTCTATTAGACTGATCTCATCAATCTGTTACTGATGGTTCAAAACCCTTGTTTTTTGCTATTAGGAAATTAAGATGTTCTATAACTGTAGTTAAACTCATTCTTTGAGTATATGTATTAAAATAATATTTGTTATAGAGATGATGGTTTAAAATTAAATGGCTCGATAATAACACCTTACCAGAAACAAAATGGATGAGCTCAACATAAGAAATTATAAATGAATTAAATCTAAGCCAACCACATATTATATAGTCTGAGCTAATTGCTGTTTAGTCAACTTTCATTATACCAAAACATTGAATCAATACACTGTCAATAGCCATTTTCAATAATTTGCACATTCCAGAATCAGTCAACAGAAGTTTAGAAAGAACACTTAAAGAAGCTGCAAAACAAATGAATGTTGGATGATATGGCATTTTGCTAGGTAGTTGTAGCATAGTGGGTTATGTGAATTACATCTTCAGGTTTGGTAGGGGGGTGAGTCTTGTTTCTCATCCTTAATGCCTGGTACTCCTTGTATAAGAATCCTCTGTACTTTGGCGGCTCTCCAATGTCCTTAGAGAATTGTGGCAATGGTTCTACCCACTTATCTCCCTGCAAGTTATAGAAGAAAGCATACGAGTATCGGCTTTTCCCTTTCACTCTCACCACTCTGTGGGTTGCACTCTTCAGTTTGTTGTTGCTCAGTACCTTCTCCAAATATATAATTAATGTTCCAGGGCCAAACAATATCAATTACAGGAGAGGTTTTAAGTAAATCTAAACAGAAATTGATACAATAAAGATAACATCCTCTTAATTTTTTTATCCAATTTTCATCACATTATGCAAGTTTTAAGTCACTTTTTTTTTTCGTATCTTGATTTAGACAGGCATAGAGAATAAGAAGCAAAAGGAGGTCTGAAAGAAGTAAAGGGTGAATATAATTCTCTGTACCTGAATAACATCTCCTAAATTGACAACAATTGTGTCTTGAGCAGGAGTTACTGGTATCCATTGATCGTTCTTCTTAACCTCCAGGCCTCCAACTTGATCTTGGAACACAAATGTAACACAATTCCCATCTTCATGTTCCGTTATTCCATTATTTTCAGCTTCAGTAGCCGGGAAGTAACGCAAAGCTGCCATGAAATCCCAGCTCCTATCATGATTATATTCTTTGAGGAAATTGGGAGGGAGATCTAAACACTCATTCACAATGCTCTCTATAAGCGAGCATGTCTTGGTCAAATGGGAGAACACTTCTTCCAATACCTCCCTACCAAAATCAGGAGTGAAAAATGTTAAGAGAACAGAATTTCGGGAATAAACATGAAAAGATTCAGCAAAGACATACTTGAATTCAGGTGGGTTTTCAGGGTACACGTTGAAGGTAGACGATGGTGGAAACATCAGCATATACTCATTCTTGTCCGGGGAGTGCAGAGGCTGCCTGCTGTAACCAGCTGGAAGGGGCGCACCAGATCCTGGACTAGATTTGAGTTTCTCTTCATCTGAATATCCGAAAAATGTTTTGGACAATTCCAGGGCTCTGCACAACAAAGTTGGAGGAACCCCATGGTTCACGATTTGGAAGAAGCCATAGGTGCTGCAAGCTTCTCTTATCACTTCTATGGCTTTCTTCTTGCCATCCTCGTCATTTTCTCTAAAGAAAGGTGAGAGATCAACTGTGGGAATGGAGTAATCCATTTCAAGACTCCTGGCTTAATTGAGGGCTTATCCTAGTAAATATATAGGAATGAGGAATCTTGGACCGAAACAACTTTTGTTTTTCACCCTTCTGCTTAGTTGAGGCTCATCCTGATTTGCATTATTTGTTAACAATTTGGCCTTGCTTTGATTAATTTATTAAGATGCCAGCACATGACCATTTGTTAATTACCATTTTAGACTAGAAAAATTGGCAGAAATGTAACTTTGGTCACAAATTGCGAGACATCCCAATTCCCAAGTAGCAAATTGCCTCGATGCAAAGCAGCCAGAAGGCCAACCAATTTCGCAGACATTCTAATTGGAGTCATCCCATATCCCGAAACTAATTTTGCTCTGAACTTGCGCCATATACATAAACGCATACTCTGCTTTAGATGTCTTGAAGTTTAATGCTTCAGGATGACAAATGAGGCAATAATGGTCAAACACTCAACAGAGGTTTTCGCATCATTCCGAAACATTCTCTTAACAGTTACACATAAAGCTGGTTAAGTTTAATGAAAATGCGCCATCAAACAGAGCCCCTAATATCTATAAATCCTTTGGATTCTGATATATATAGGAATAAGATGCCTAAGCATCTTTACACCACATAGTATAACTGTGCTTTTTCCTCATTGGCGGAGCTTAAAACAGAATAAAAAAGAAAAAAAAATAAGCCACATAACATCATCTAACAAGCATATCCGGGAGGGAAGGGAACCCACAAGAATAAACTCAAGAAGAAAACATGATAGAAGGGCCTTTTAAGTAAAAATAAATAACAGTCAGAACTATGGCCTGTGATGATAGATGTTGCTTACACACTATAGAAAACTATCATGAAAGAGTCAAGTTGGTCACCTTCCCCATCATCTTACTAAAGAAACCACTAGAGACAACTTTACACCAAGTTGATACCAAAGCAGATAAAGCTAATATAAGTGAGTGTTCGGTTGAAGATAACTCAGTTGCCGTCGTCATCACCATCTTCGTCATCATCATCTTCTTGATCATCCTCATCATCGTCAGAGTCATCGTCTTCTTTTCCCTGTCAATTGATGGAACCCAGAAATCAACACAACAGTATCAGTATGTTTTTGTCTGCAATTCAACCGGTTCCCCTCACAAAGGTTTACGGCCTCCCAAGTTATTCTATCTTTGTATGCAACATGAGAAGGCATGGTTCCAATGTTAAAAGAGATGTAGTTAAAAATCAGAAAGCATTGCTTGTTCAGTAGATCAAGAAAAAGAACTCCATCTGATCTGTAAATTAGCTTCAATTACACCAACTTCACCGTCACAACTGTTATTTATAGGACTTATAACAGCATAATTTCTTAATGCCTAATTGCAGCTCTATACCTATGGCCCATCTAAAATACTAAACTCAAAAATACATCACACAGACACAGATATCTTTAATCATTAATCTTTACTTTGAAAACCAGTTATCAGTAACATGTCTTCACCATTCAGATTAGTAAAATGTACCAACGAAACCTAATTTCTAACGGAGAGATGTTTTAAGAGGAAAAGGGGTCCCCATTTCTATTTTACTTTCAGTTCTCAATTCTTCAATAACTTGTTCAATTCAAGAATTCAGAACACACACACTGATTGAACATGGCAAACAATGAAAACCAATATTTAATCTATTAAAAAAAATAAAAGCCAAAAACTATGAACACTGACTAATAAGGCAAAATACCAACACACACACACACACAATGATGACACTAAAAAATATGAATTGAACATGGCAAACAATGAAAACCAATATTTAATCTATTAAAAAAAATAAAAGCAAAAAACTATGAACACTGACTAATAAGGCAAAATACCAGATAGGCATCTTCAAGTGGATATTCAGGGGAAAAAAAACACTGATTGAAATATCTTCCCGTTATTTTTTATTTTTATTTCTTTTTGAAAGAGAACCTTCAATTACCTCTTCATCAGCTTCATCCCCTTCAAACTCTTCATCAGCTTCCTAAAACACATAAATTAAAGTTAGAGAGGGAAGCAGAAAAAGATTTCAGGTCATACTCAAACTTCAAATATCACAAAGGGAAATGGAAAAAAATGACCATAGGGAAAAAAAAGGTACATTGTTAAAGTAAGTGAGAGGATTGGGCCATAAATCCTCCTTGATGATCTCTGCAACCTGCAATTTTCAGAGAAAACACAAACTCAATTCAAGAATCTGTATAATCAATCTACACATTTGGCATGGATCTTAACAATCAATTTGTAGACAGTGATGGAACTTACATCATCATGCATGCCGTCCATGGTATCCTTCTCCTGAGTATCACTAAACCAACTAAAGAAACTGCATTGATAGTTGCAATATCAAAAGTAAGATGCTGAGTACAGATGTGAATATGCAAAATTTAGAATGTAAAAGTTATGAAAAAAAGGATACTAAAGTTACGTTTGTGAACTGTATATTAGACAAACATACTTTGGGAAGCATGTTGTCAATGCAAAGCATACCATATTTATTTCTAGTTTTAAAATTCAATTTACCCATATAACAAAATAAGAACTTATAAAAAGATGGACAATAAAAGCCATATTACCTCACTTCCACAGAAGTGCATAACCATTAAAACCTAATGTTCCATCAACATTAGGTTAATTGATGAACGAAACCTTAAAAGAACTATTAAAACTTTGATAACAAATAGTACATAACTAGTACATTCATAAAGTATAGAGATAGTACTAATCCATCAATGTTCAGTAACTGATAAATACAGATACCTAATTGTACCATTAACTGAAAATTTTAAACCCCTGGCAAACCATGCTCAGCCACATATAACATTTCTAAAGATTTTGACGACTCCAAATCAGAAGAGTGATCATCACTCATCAAGCTTACTAAGTTCAATTTTAGAAGCAACTAATTATAGTTTATTGCATATGTCCTCAGATTAAATCCTCAATACAGGAAAACCTACAGATAACGACAGCAGTGAAATAAAAGTTCTGAATGACAAAATTTGCCAATGAATAAAAGCCAACCTTTCTTCAGCAAATGGCCGCTTGTTTCCTTTCTTCTCATGATTAACTCCATTCGGTAAACCCTTTATACAGAAGGAACATAATCAAATCAAAACCAGAGCAGAAAAATAAATATAACACTTGTCAGAAAGCACTGAACAGAAAAAACCCTCACCATTCCCTCTTTCCACTTTATTGTTGTAGCAGTAATTTTCATTGAACCTTCATCATCAAGGAAGGTGAAAGTCTTTGTAAGTTTGGAATCCTCAAAATAAGGATTGGGGTTGAAGTTCTGAAAAATCCAAAGAAACAGATTAAAACACATCAGTATGTCCACCAATCAGGAAAGAGCATGAATTGACATTGCTACTACTAAAGCTAAGTCTGACTAAAAAGTGAGCTTTTAATTGTTCACAAAATCAAGAAGAATAGCAGAAATAAACTCACAAATGTAATAGAGTATCCTGATTTGACATCTTTAAAATCCTCCACCTCCAAAGAGCTCAAGTGCCTGAATATCTATCAAGGCAAAAAGGAGAGCAGAAGGACAATTAAAATCTTTAAGCAGAAAAACAAATCAATTGAAGAAATAGAAAACTACTTTTCTGGCATCATGGTTAAAAGTTGATGTGCTTAAATAAATCTAACAGCGAAATAGCGGTTCAACTTCTTAGGATAACAAAAATGGAAGCTGTAAAATAAATAACTGCAAAAATTCAACATCAATTCATAAGAGAGCAACATTCAAACCTTTTGATCTTCATCACTCAAAAGTTCACCAAGAGCAGGATGACTAATAAACTGCATAGAGAGAGAAACAAGTCAACCACAAAAAGCTTCTGATCATGACAGTTCATGAATTATAGTTTTCCCCATGTAAACAAATAAGAACAAACTACTCACAGCAGTTAACCAGAAGTCAGGAATGGATTTAATGATGTCATTCCGCTTATCATAGACTGGCTTGCGTATCTCACTATATTTCTGCTCCACTTCTAAAACTTTCTCACTTGCCTCTTCATTAATCTAGATAATTAATAGAAAAGGGAAAAAATTATGAGATTAAACTTGATTAGTAATTTTGTGAGTGAATATTTTCATACTCAAATGCACTCCTACAGAAATGAATGTTATCATATGTCCATACTACATGTAATACTAATATCAATTCAAAGCACGAAAAACAGAATAAGTAAATTCAAACTTCAGGCAATTAAACATATGACAGTAGACAATGATTAAATGCGTGCAATTAACAAGCATCAATTGAGACATTTCAAGCTATACTAATTACAAAGGAAAACGGACTGCCGTTTAGACTTAAATGCACCCTCAATGACCAAAACCAAAACCAAATCCAAAATGTAGTGTATAATGCAGCAGTTTTAAGATCAAGCATACAGACACCTTTTCTTCTCAGCACTGCCCAGAAACGTCAAATTAATTTATTTCACAGACCCTCCCACACACACACACACACACACACAAAAGGCCAACTCGAATAGCTATGCACTTCAAATCATGCTCAACCAAAATAATGCTGCTTCAATGTGGTTCACAGTGCAGTTTCACCAGGAAAAAAAGAAGTAACTTATAAAATCAATCACAAACAAAGCGGAAAGAACCAATATACATCTGACAGAAAACAATTATCAAGTAAAACAGCAATACATTCAAATAAAATTTAACTTAACAAATTTTTCTTTAAGAAAAGCAAATAAAGCAAAATTCTTTCAAAGGAGTTTGCATTGACATCTTCCGAGAATCTAATTTAACCCTTCAAAACAAACATATACTGCCTACAAATTTATTGTTAATTTATCCACTTTACTTATGGCACCCAATTTTACTAAATCTCCATCAAAACCTCACTAAAAGTAAAACCCACAATTTTTCTACCTTAATTTCGTCGATGCTCTCAGCAACCAAACAAAATGTATTAGTTAAAAAAAAAAAAAAAAAAAAAAAAGGAACAGTAACAGTAACAAATTCATAAACACAAACACAGAGGGGGGAAAAAAAAAAACCTTAAACATATTTGTGCAAATATATAACCTTTTCAAGCTCATCTTGGATCTCTTGAAGCTTCTCGATGGACAGAACAAGTTCTGAGTCGATGGGCTCAGCGTTTTCTTCTTCTACTTTGGTCTTCTTGCCCTTGTCTGCCACCATTCTTCTCTTGGTAGCTAATAACAAATACCTTAACTCTAAATCTTCCTCTTCCTCTCTTTCTCTCACTTTGTGAGTGTCTAAAACCCTAGTGGCTTTGCTTCACTTTATTCTCTCTCTTTTTGTATGTGGTAGAATGAGGAAGTGTGTCAAAACAAATGAGTTAGGGTTTTGGGAGTTTATATACCTTATATGGGAATTTGTGCAGGTACAGAGATTAAGCCAACCAAACCCTGACAAATGTGAAATAAAGGATAGTATTGTCTTTTGAGTTAGGGGTGTTTAAATAATTCAAACTTAAGAGTGTCTTTGACATTGGGCAGTATCTTCTCAACAGTTGGGCTCACCCACATTATATAAACAAAGGCGAAACAGGCAAGGCAATCAACTAGATATTTTCGTAGTTTTCTCTATTTTTCCTTTTTAACCCCTCATGTTTTCTTTTTTCCTCTTAAACCCCAACTATTGCACGTTGGATTTTAAAGCCCAAATTTGTTCGGATTGGCAAAGGTCAAAAATAAAAGAGTTGAAATTGGGCTAAAGTTAAGTCTTGCCAGCTGGGCTTTTGTAGAAATAGAATTGGGCTATTTTCTTGTATTCTTGCATTTCTTTCCCTTGTTGACAAGGTTCATCAATCAGTTTCAGATTAGAGTTTGTACCTTGTGAAGTCATCTCAATTTTGGAAGATTAATATTTGTTTCATTTTTTTTTTTGGTAACCAGAGTGTCCGGACCAGCTTGCGCATACCTGAATTAATTCCCAAGGTCTATTGAACACTCTACAAACCCAAAGGATCCGATGGTAAGTCACAATGTTATTTTGGTAAGCAATTCCAAGGTTTGAACCTAAAAACTCAAAGAAAGGAACAAACCTCTTGGCTGCCAGGGCAACCCTTAGGGTTTATTTGTTTCATTGTTTTTAGCTAGTTGTATTTATAACATTGAAATGTACATACTTTGTTACACAACATTGCAATGTGAAATTAGATTTGGAATTTTGGGTATTAAATTTGCCCATTTAAGTGTCATTTTACAGAACACTGCAGAAATAGAAACGAGTTATCCTTTGAAGATTAATGGATGTCTTTATCTATCAAAAGCTTCAAGTGTAAAGTAGGGATAAAAGGTATAGACAAGAATTTTTGGTCTCCTGAAGAGAAGTTATCAACTTTTATCTAATGTTTGATTTTCTCCAAACAAGCAGCAAAATAAAATGGGATTTGTATAAATGAGATATGCTCATCAGAATTAAACAAAAGATGCTCAAAATGTTGGAGGACTGTTGAAACAATCGTTACAACGTGGCTCTGTAAACTACTTTGTTTTCAATGGCCGACTGCCCCTTTTAAAGTGTTCTGCTTTTGAGACTAATGATGATGTTGAAACAAGATGACAATAGTGGGATTTTTGAACTTATCTTTCTGCCCTTTTGTAGGGGACCCTTTTCACTTGCTGATGAGTGCTTTTCTTCACCAAGATTATTCTTCACAGGCTCAGCTGATATTAATTAATGGATTCTTCCCAGTGGTCCATGACAACTATTCCATTAATCTGTTTAAAGAATTTATTTAATATCAACCCAACTCTATTGGTTCCTTCACAGCATTCCATTTTCAAGGTATGTGGTTTCATTTATTAGATCAAACCCAGAGAATTTTTGTAGTTTAATTATTGATTAGTATCCATCTTAAGGTTGGATGTGATGTGCAACCTCTCTTTCTCTTTCCCATTTTGCATTGAATGGCTTATTCGCTTTCACTTCTTAATTACAATTTTTTCTTCATCACATCAAGCACATGGCTGCCTTCCTCCAGTATCTTTAGTTCCTTTCAAAAAAGAACTGTTTGGTAACCAATAATTTATTGCATAATGAAGACCAAAGCTTAGTTGAGTGTAATTTACAAATTGAAGTTACCATAGCATATGTGTTTAATTTACTTATAGCAGTTGATAAAAATTAAAGGTCTTCAATAGAGTAAAAATTGCAGCAAATTAATCTCTACTATGTTTAAGCCTTTTTTTTGGGATCTTAGAGTAATTGCAGTTCATAGACGTCTCTAAATTTCCAAGTTAGTGTTATTACCTTTAGTTTTAGGTCCACATGCACAGAGATTTTGCTTTTATAATCCAATTATTTGCCTAATCCTGGCACATATTTTGTTTTTTTTATTCCAATAGTCATAGTTTCTGTGGAAAGGAAAAAGAGAGGAGAAGATGGGATCCACCATGGCCGGAAGATGGTTATGGAATTGAATGTAGCTACCAAACTTGCTCATGGATATGTATTGTCATGAGTAGAACATGTCATTGTGGACAAAATTCCTTAACAGTTATAGCATTGGTGAAAGCTGCCATCATTCATTAAATTTCCATGGAAATTAAGGTGAACCTACACTCTGCAATGCTTGGTTGAACTTGTGGCGCTGCTCATCCCATCATTTGTGTTCACATGGAGGTTTTGTTGTTTCAATTCCTGGATCGGTCATCTTTCAAACACTAGAATCCTGGATAAGGAATATGTTTATTTTTACATCATCCTATTTATCAATATACAAGTACATACTCTCAGAGTTGATGGTTTTTTTTACAACTATTAGTGGGCAAATATGCTTAATTGTTCATGTTTTGCATGCCCTGTCGGTTGCATTATAGATATCAATGGCATCTTAAGAGAAAAAAGAAACTGTATTTCATATATGTGGTACTTTCTGATGCATAACTCTCAATTAGGACCTTTATCTACAGATTTAATGGATACATGCCGACCAAAGCAAGAGATTTGTAGCCTTTCAAGGAAGGCAAAAAAGGTTGTAAAAAGCAAACTTTAGTTAATAGTCAAAAAGAAGGTCCAAAACATGGATGACCCTCCAGTTGTAAATCAAGAGAACAAGAATAAAATTTTTAAGTTCTGAACTAACAAGAGAAGGAAATTAGTTGGACAAGTTGGTCAGTAGATGTGGTGTTAACTGTTAAGTATTCTTTTGGGTCCAATTTGCATAGATAAATCCAGATTCTCTTTTTATGTGTTCAGGCAGTTGTGTTTTCCCATGAAGAGAATATAATCTCAGTTTCATCACTGAAAAAAAGTAAAGCGATTGGTGGAATACAGGAAAAAGAATAACGTTAAGTGAAATTCTACCTCATATTAAGCTTAATTGCATTATTATCTAAGAATTCAAACGGAAACTTTCAGCTAAAGTTTAAGCTTAATTGCATTATTATCTAAAAATTCAAACCGAAAAGAAAACTTTCAGCTAAAATTTTCACCAAATCACCTTCGATCACACACTGCTCCTTCAACTTCACGTAGGCAAAGCCATTTTGTTCTTTTGCTAACGGGAAATCAAAACCTTTCATCAATATCAGCTTGTAGCTTCCTCCCTGGCATGTGGGTAACTGACCTTTGAGGTTGCTGTGGATGAAACTTGGCCTTCTCACTAGTTCTGTAAACATTTTCAGCTACTCTAACTGCTTTATGACTGTTGCAACCCAGTAGTTTGCTTGAACGGCCACTTTGCGCATCTTTCACCATGGATTTGGTTTTGGCAACTTTACTTGCACCAGGACTAGCATTAAAATTTTCTGTGAGTTTTTTTTCATCATAATCCGAGATAGCTGAGAAATCAGCGGCACTTGCAGTGACAACACTCCACTCAATGCTGGTCTCACTTGGTGCATAAGGAGTTGGAGACATGCAGCCAGGTACACCATCAGATGTTCCCCTTGTGAACAGTGCGTCTCCACTGCCTGATATGTTCCCTAGTTCAAAGAGATCAGAGCTAGCATCACTCTCTATATCTTCATACACTTGGCTCCTTACTGAAGAAGTTGGGAGTTTCGGGGTCTTTGGAATTGCATCCCAACTTAACATAGACAGTTTCCTCTCAAGATTCATTTCTATCACTTCCTTGTTCAGGGTATGTGAACCAAACACCTCTAGTGATTTTCGTGACTCTTCTTCTATGATTTTCTCTTTTGCCAACTGTCTCTTAATGGCCAGGTTTTGAACCGCTGGATTTGCAACTGTGATCGCAACAAGCTCTTCTTTGTTTGATTCCATACTAGTAGTAGTACTCATCTTTTCATAAGTTGGCTTATGAAAGTCATCTTTCACCTTCAATCTTGGTTGTAGCTTTCTTCCATCCAACATGATAGGACTGTGAACAGTTTCAGTAGATTCTTTTTTGTGTTCTCTTCCCCGAACTGCCTCAACATGCTCAACATTTGGACTAACATAAACTGATTTCTTATCATTACAAGATCCATGGCAGCTAAGACCAGCGAAAAAACTACTCTTTCCATGTACCCTTTTCGGCTTATTTTGAGCTCGAGGTAGGCTTCTCTGATATGATGGCAATAGAGTAGTTTGGCTATTCCAACTTGCTTCAGAACTTACACTTGGAGTACCTGGCCTGCTCTTCGTTTTAACGCGGAGGAGTTCAACCTGGTTTGCTTTCTTGTTCCCAGGAGTAGTTGCAGTATCAATAATAATTGGACCATCCTCTAATCTCATGTTGTAGTATTTCTGAGCTTCAAAAACGCCAATTTCACCCTCCCCGGACTTGCTTCTTTCCAAGCTTATTGAATAGGGAAAATCCGGGCTTGAAGTGATGGAATGATGCGGATACTGAACTGATTCTGTAATCTTTTGTATGAATTTCTCTTTTGCTGTGCCAAGGTAACAAGAAAATGATACTTCACCAAGATTGTTACTGTTCCTTCCAGTGTCCATGGTTATGCTTAATTTACAAGAAACCACCACCCAGATTTTTTATGTTGAGAAACTTGAGATGACAAGCAACAGTAGGAAATAAAGAAACCAAACTTGACAAGAAATGTTTGAATGATAGAGGAAGCTTTGTGAGATAGCGTGGGCAGGACAAACACAAAAAGGTGCTAATAACTAATAGAAAGAAAAAACTTTTGACACTGAGAGAGGTTTGGAGATCACTTGGCGTCCTAAGAACCATTCTATATAAGTAATTTTATAGGGCTGCATGTACAATAACAGGAGTACAAGGTCCTACATGCTTGAAAGCAAGCCATTTTTTTTTGTTTTCTCACTAGAAGTCGTCTCATGTGGTTTTCATTCTGTTAACTAAAAGTTGATTACTGGGGAAGTTATCTTCTAATCAAACATCTGCTTACTATATGCACAGTGTGGCGACAAATGGCTTGCAAATGGCAGTGTGAGATCTCTGCCGTTCATTTGGGGGTGTTTTACATAATTTAAGAAACTACAATATCCAATCAAATAAAAAGAAGCTGCCTTTGTAGAAACACACACCCACAAATGAAAATTAAATCCAAAATATGGTTGCTTGCTTGTATTTCTTGACTTCTTTGTTAGCAAGAATGGTCTAAATGGAATGGTCTTTCACTATGGTGTAGAAGCTTGAAACCTAGTGCGATCTTCATTTCTGGGTTTTATTTGAAAGAAAGTAATATTAAGAATTGAGGTGAACAAAAACCTTAATGCCAAGTAATTAAATAGTGAACTATGACAAATAAGATTGATACAAAACAACAGTTCAACATTTTCTCTTCCAATCTACAGCTGATAATTACAGACTAGAGTGGAAGGTGTACAAGAACAAAGAATTATATTATCGGAAACAGGATCTTGTGAGAGCCTGAAGTTTAGAATCTAAACAGCACTGAGGTACTCAAAACAGAATAAATAAAAAGAATTGGATGATAGAGAAAAGAATATAGAAAAAAACAAACAAACCATGAATCTTTATGAAATAATACATCCCATCTATATTTCTATATCTACCTTCAAAAAAAAAAGGATAGGATCAAAATTAAATGCAGTAGAAGCCATGTTACTGGGTTGCTACTGGCGGAGACACCTATGGTTAACTACAGTAAAAATCGTTCCCCTGTGGAATCACACCATCTTATATCTCATTCACTGAGAGGATGTGGTACTGTTTTCTCCAGCAACCCAGTACTTCTTGACAGCAAATAATATCTTTATTGAGGCAAGAGGGCCATCCTCATTATCAATCATTTTTGTTTTCCACCTCATTGCTCCTGCTATTTTCTTCACCTTTTTTAGCACATCCACTTGATCGCGAAATATGACTGCTCCTTCAGGCCGCAAGATACGATCCATTTCCAGAAGAATATCTTCAGCATTACACCTGCATCAGTTGCATGTAAATATAGGAACTTTAAAGATAATTAACTAGCCACAAAAGAATCAAAAGAAAAAAAAAATGTTCTTGAAAGTCATTTTGGCTACTTGAAAGAGGTCCACACGCAGTGGAGCTGAATCCCACCATGGGGATCTATGGAGTCAACCTCAGTCTGATCTAATGGCAAAAGCATTTTAACCTCATTCAAGGGTCTAGGTGGTTCTGAATGCATAGCATATCTTAACCAATACTGTGTTATGCCAATATGCCATGACATTAAATTGATTTAACTTCAAGGTTTGGTTTCCTTGGGTTATGATTATTGACACTAAACCTTTAATTTCTATCAGAAAAGAGTAAGTTGTTGTGTTAATGAAGACTTACTTATCCTTATACAAGCTGAAAACATCACTTGCATGAATAAGGTCATATGTCCTGGGGTACGTGGAGAACCCTTCACACCTAGCAAAAAATAAAAAATAAAAAATAATTAATTATCAAAAGAACAAACATTGAAGATGGAAAAAAATTAGCAAAAATCCAAGGTGCCATAAACTTAAAACAGAAATGTCAACTACACTGGCTATTCATCACTGCCACGAAGAAATGATGACTACCAATACTACAGTCATCCAAATCAACTAAAGACAGATAAAGCCTGAATTAGAAAAGAAAGCCATTCCTATATCCCAAATCAGCCAAATGTTAATTGCATAAGGTGTAAAAATGATATTGAATTTCCTCCTGGCAAGGTTTCTGGAATGACAAACAGCTCAACTGTGGCTAGTGACCAAAGAACTTCAGCAACGATGAGATAAATAATCCAAAAGAAAAGAAAATGATAAAAGGAAACAGGTACAACTGTGAAAAGCAGGAAAAAAACATATCAAAGTACCAATATAATAGTTGCCAGCCCCAGAAACAAAATTATTGTTCATATATTTGTCTATCCTTAGACACGTGAGTGTGAATCTGTTAGAATGAAACTTTTTTCTTCTTTCCAAAAGAAATAGATATTTTGAGTTACGAGAAATGCAACAGTTGAGTGAAAGGCCAAAATGGGAACCAAATATTGTGAGGATTTGCATGCTACAATTAGATTAAAACAGGGCCTAGGAGAGGCAGAATGGTAAAACAGGACTATCCTATTTGGGCATAAAAAAGTGCAGATATAAGGTCAGATGATTTTAACTAAGAACATAATTGGAAAAATAGTAAAGAAAATGGTCATCCAGATGAATAAAATCAGTTAATATCATGTCAACTGCATCCCTTGGAAACCCAAATAGTCTGCAAGAACCACACGAGCTGTGCAATGAAAAAAAAAAAAAGAAGATAGTGCTGATTCTTTAAAAGTTACCAATCATGATATATGCCGATTAATCCACGCTCATAAATAACACCAAGAGTGTCCTTCTCAGCTATTGTAGGCATAACATTCATAACCCACAATTTGGGAGATTGAATGGCTGCAGCGAAACTTCCCAAACCAGCATTCATATCCATTATGTTGCGATACCTCCCTGAATCAATTATTTTGTTAACCCTCTTATAAGCATTCACATGCTTCTTCCACAACCGATTGTCTTCCTGGTATACCTCAGCAGATACTCCTGGAATGGACCCACTGTATATTCTGAATGGAACAGCATTGAGTCTTTCCGGAAATGGTATCCATGGTGCCCCAGCAACTTCATCTTGTCCAGTAGTCTCAGGAAAAGGAGTCACACAACCCTCCATCTTCTTATACCTACACACCAGCAGAACATTGATATGCAACGAAACAGAACATACTCTTAAGCATGGCAAGGAATCACAATATATAAACTAATTCATCCCAAAACTTATCTTCCCTAGTAACTTGAAATCATTTACCACATAAATACACATATGAAATCCAAGCAATTACTTGCTGTTGATTCAACCAAAGTTGGGTCTTTTTTGTTGCAAATCCTACCCTTTAGCATTTTGCACCAAGAGGTTGAAAAGACTTCAACCCAAGTGCTCATGTTTATCAATCAAAGGCTCTTACCGTTACATAAGGCAATGGCACATATAATAAAGTCCAAATCTTCAACTTTCTAACCTTTCCTACTGATTCATATATTCAGAAAAAAAACAACACAAGGCAAGAAAGCAGCTTATAGGGACAAAATATAGCATGGTACCAAACTATGAAGCTTTTCTGTTTCTACAATCAGCAGCAGTACGGTACAATAATTCAACAATAACACAAATAAAACTGGTTACATAAATATTCTCCTATAATTATCCCAGGATTTAATTCATTTTCATAATAGTAGGGTGCATGCCGTATCTCTTGGAAACAAATGCAATTGGTCAATAAACATCTGATGAGGCAAATAAAGTAATTACCAGATGTTTTCTGCATTCGTGGGTTGACACATGGTAGGTTGAGAATCTTTCTCCCGGCAATTAGCGTCATTTTTTCTTTTCTGCCAGATGGCAGTTTCACCCTTTTCATACTTCTTTTCCCAGCAGAGAAGCTTGGCAATCTCTTCAATTTTTCTCTGTTCTTCCTCAAGTTCCTCTTTAGGGCGTTGCCATGCTTGGAAATTAGTCCTCCAATTAATGGGAGGACCAGAAAGCACCCAGTAACCACCTGGTCTAAGGACTCGATCAACTTCCATCATGTACGTTCCATCTGCAGAAAGAATTCCCATCCATGATGTCATAAATCCCTAAAGCTAACAGTTTTTATGAATAAAATAATAATGATTGCACATGGCTCTTCATTGAATCACTGTGTATTCCACTTTTCAGCTTTGGTTTGCTTATTAACTGCATTATCTGTTAATCTGTAAAAGTTATAGTACTCACTATTTGAACTCCAAGGAATCAAGCATCGAGAACAATGAGCCATGTCAAAAGCCCTAGAAGGATATGGTAGCTTTATAGTTCCAAGGACACCGATAACTGCCGGTACACCTCTTTCCAAAGCAAATTGAACCTGTGCTTCATGAGAGTCTCTTGGTGCAAATGACATCGTTACAATATTCTTATTAAATAGGTATGCACCCCAGCTTGCAACCTAATCACCAACAATAAATCAATTGAAGTAAAAGAAATGCTGGAGTCATTTGTATATAAACTTCATAGACTAAAAATGAGCAAAAGATAAAAATGGAAAAACAGTAAATTCTAAAATCAGAAGAACAGGTTCATAAATATGCAAATCATTCTAATAAGAAAAACATAAATAAAGACAAATTAAGAAAAGGTGTAAAATCCCAACAAAGGACAAGCGAATGCATGCATATGTGTACTGAAGTGAATACCTTAAACTTTACAAAAAAAAAAAAAAAAAAGACATTGTGCAGAAGTGGCAACCTTGTTTATAGAATTAAACTTACCCCGCATCCAGTATCGAGAGCTGTTCTAACCATCCTGTTATCCATTGGGATGACAGATGCAAGTTCGTTTATATATGCAACTGCCCCGTGAGGAAACTGTGTTCCTCCACCAGGAAATTTAAGCACATTGCCCTCATATTGAATCCAGTTCTGAACAGCCTTCTCAACTGTCAAGCTCTTATAAGGTGCATTTGCGTAGGGTACATAGTCACGACTCTTTGGCCAAGGAAATGGAGTTACATATCCTTTTGGAGCTGGAATAAGACAATTTAACTTCTCTTCTTTAAGAGGGCAATGTCGTTCCCTGTAGTTCATATTTTCCCGGGGGAATGTCATTGCCTTCATTTGATCTTGACAGGGTGTGTAATCAATATATCGATCATCACATGGCTTGAAATCCTGGACTATAGATTTTGAATCATCTGTTGCCCCCTCATCACCATCATTATGAGTCTCATAATTCAGATTATTGAGGATACCACAGTCTGTCTGTCTGGTGATGTCTATAGCTATTCTGTCACCTTTCCCAAACCCACTCCGCTGCCATGCACCCAAGATATAGAAAAAACAGCATAATCCAAATATAATGAACAATGACACTGAGCCCCTAGTTCTGCTGTCTCCTGAGTTTCCTTTTGTTGCCATTGCGTACCTGAAATTTTTTTTACCATGTAAAATTATTACAAAAAGTATGTTAAAGTAATGAACTATAGAAATATGTATAATTCTAATATGCACAAGGAAAACAAATCTCAAGATTCAGTAGAGGGATGAAAATTCATACAACAATGACTACATCAAAATCTCAAAACTCTATTTTGAAAAACAATTGCAATATTTAAAGTCAAGAAATCATCCTCATTTGGAAACATCAGAACAAGGCCAGTATTCAATCTTTCAAGCATATATAGTTAATCAAATGGGGAAAATTAAAAAAATGACATCTAAATATAAATAAAACATAAGCTCTTTCCGTCCATTTGATCAATCAAACATCAAGCCCATCTCCATAGGATCCTAAGCTAAGATTTAAATTTCACCAGATGATGATTTTCAGTTACTGAAAATGTATAATATTATTATTCCAATAATAGAAAAACAACCATTGAAACTAGTTACAGTAAATGTTCAAGGTATGAACCAGTCAAAGATGGCATAACTATAACCGCGTCAAACTCTGCTATCGAATTTTGATACGAAAAGCCAAAATTAAAAAGAAAGACAGGTTTTCTGAAAAATCATTACAGAGAATAAAATTGGAATTGCGTGGCAACAAAATGAAGTATTGAAGATCGATTGAATTGATGAAGAAGTGTAATGGATCTGAATTTAACATTTGAAAACTCTTACTTGCGAGGAGAAGAGAGGAGTAATCAAGACATTGACGACGAAAAAGAATAGCAATTCTAAGCGTGAAGAAGAAGTTGTTGTGAGTTTCAGTCGTTTTGTTTAGATAAATAATAGAGAAGAGATGATTGAATTTTCTTTTGGTTGAAAAGTACGGAGTTGGATTAGATTTGGGTGTTAAAGCGCTGTTGTTTTTGGTTGAAAAGTACGATGTTTCTGTCCGTTTTTTCCAATCAGGAGTCAGGACCAGCCACTACGGTTTCTGACTTTTAGTTGGTCGTTAGGAATTGTTAATTTATTTTGAAAAAAAGAAAATGAAAATATATTTATATATTTAACAAGTGTTAGGAATTTATTTTTAAAAATGAGAAAAGCTGTTAATTTATTTTGAAAAAAAAAAATTGTTAATTTATTTTGGGAAAATAAAATTATAAAAATATTAAATTGTGGAGAGTGGGATTTGAACCCACGCCCTTTCGGACCAGAACCTTAATCTGGCGCCTTAGACCAACTCGGCCATCTCCACTTTTGGTTCAATTTTAAAAACTTACTTTTTTATAGTTTTAGAAATAAAAGTCAATCTATGACTTGCCATTTGCCCTAGAAAAATAAAAATAAAAATAAAATTTATATCTTAAAACAGAATTAAAAGCCCTTATAAAATGGGTATATATACTTTTAAAAAATAGAAAATACATTTTATTTCACCATCTTTAAGAAATTTGATAATAATAACCCATTAAAATCTATTAATTATTGAAGATTATACATCAATTAATTACTACGGCATAATTTCCCTACTTTTAAGGATAAAGATCAGCTCACAACCTATTCTTATAAATTTTCTTTTCCAACCCCAACGTGACAGCTCGCAATTGATCAGCTCGTAAATGAGTAGACGGGACCCATAGCGAGTAAGCGAAACCCATTTGTGAGCTAACCAATTGCGAGCTAACACGTTGAGGTTGTGACAAAAAGTTTGTAAAATTAGATTGTAAGTGTAGTATTACCATTCTTTTGAAGCGGGATAAAAACTTTTGACCTCATCCTCCACTAGCATGGGAAACATCACTCTATAAAACTGTGAAAAAGTTTTCGTTTTGTTTTAACTAGTAAATAAATTTTGTTTTAACTAGTAAATAAATTTATGTTGTTTAACAAACCATAAACATAAATTTGTTTAGTGATTTAGACAAATTATAGCCTATGTTTTTTATCACTTTCAATAATCCATTTAACACTTTCCAAATTCACTTCATAAGTAGAACTCTAACACTGACTATCGAGAAACATGTTTATCATATAGGTACTATATTTTGTAAATAAGAGAAAAAATTTGGAACTGGGGAGCCTAGTGAGTAGATAATACATTTTATACGAAAATAAATTTTACTTTAAAAACATGTATGCACTTCCATATGCAATGATAATTCAGTTAATGCTCACTCACAATACTAAAACCAAATAATTCAGTTAATGCTCACTCACAATGCTAATACTGAATAATTCAGTTAATGCTCACTCATGATGCTAATACCAAATCTGAAACCAACTGCATGAGAAAATCCATTTGCATGCCATGAAACATCATAACCACTCATGTAAGTAATGAAACAACCATCATACCAAATTTTCAAATGCTATAAAACCTTATACCAAGCTCATGTAAATCATGCAACCACCACCACCACAATAGTACCCAAGAATCTATGTTGTATCTTTCACATAACGATCCCTAATACAAACAAAGCAACTAAGACACCCACAGTCTACCCTCGGGGTGGCACAATCCCTCCAGATATCCATACTCGACCCATAGTCTACCCTTAAGGTATCATGATATGGTATCACATAAAGTCCCGCCCACGATTTGTCCTTAGGGCGTCAAAGTATCGCACCACAGTCTAACCTAGGGGTGTCAAAATCTCACCAGATATCCATACTTGACCTACAATCTACCCTTGGGTTGTCATGATATGGTATCACATATAATCCTTTCCACTGTCTACCCTCGGGCTGTCAAAATCTCATCGGATATTCATACTCGACCCACATTCTACCCTTATTGTGTCATGATATGGTATTACATATAATCCTGCCTATAGTTTGTCAGTCATTCGTCTTTCTCTGTAGATGTCATAATTATTTGGTAGGACATATCATCTCAATACCTGTATGAGGCTAAGTATAAACTGCTAGCTGATGTCTAGTGGGGGATAAGTACTATAAAAGGTGGTCTCAAATCCGATAATCATACACAGCAACACATGTGCATCCGAATATCCAAACACACAATGCATCATGAATGCCTTCATGTAGAGTATTCAAAATCCGGGCAACCAGACACTTTCACTAAACATTCCTAACCCCACACTTTGCTACTCTGATAGACTCCAAATGTAATAGAAACAAGCACAACAAAAAAGTTGTACATGAAATATAGGTATGATAGTCCACTTTCTTAATTATTGTATCTTTTTTTTTTATTGTTCTTATCTTTTATTTTTTTTATTTAATTAAAAAAAAGTTTCTTAAAAATTTCAAAAATATTTGTTAGAATTAGATCCAATTAAGGGATTCTTAGAAAAAATGGGACTTCTTGCTTGATATAGAAAAATGTAAGATTATGTATTTTTTCTATATTTGAATTATATAGACATATACAAGAGAGGATCATGAAATTCATTTTATCTGTCTAGTCCTAATTCTAAGTTACAGAAGAATTCAGTTTTTATGTTGTTTTGTTAATAGATGTATCCAATTTAAAATTATATAACACCATTAAATTATGTGACATATTTTGCATGTTTCGTGCATATATCGTGCTAATATTGTGTTATTATAAACACTTATATCATTTATATATAAGTAAATGTTTTATAATATAATATAATTTAATATCATAACAAGCCCAAGAAACATTAAAAATTGCAATTAAACGCCCTTACTCTGGAAATGTTTTTAGATACACTACTGACCTACACCTCCACGACTTCACGTTGAACAACTCCATTTTCCTAATCTAACCCCAATCCCAACCCTAACCCTAACCCCAATCAGTAAACTTAGGTTTTGTTTTCTTTGTTTTATTTAATTGCAATTTTAATATATTTTTATTATGTTTTTCCCTTGCTTCAAGTTGCTGCTTCTCACTTTTCTTCTTGTTTTCTTTATGTTCTACTTGTTTGTGTCATTGGGAAAAGGATCCAAGGGTATGTTTTAATGTTTTGCATACTTTTTTGCATTCGCATTGATATGAAGTTCCTTGTTTTCAATCTTTATACTGAGATAATCCATTTGGGTTCTTTTGGTATTGGATTTGTAATCTTGTTAGTAAATTGTGATGGAGGAGAGATATGAGCCATTGAAGGAGCTCGGGTTTGGAAATTTTGAGGTGGCTAGGTTGGTCAGAGATAAGAAGACTAAGGAACTTGTTTCAGTCAAATACATAGACAGAGGGAAGACAGTAATCATCTTTTATCCTATTAGATTCTTGTGTACAATCTTGTATGTAGTAGTGCCACACTAATGATCAATATATTCTTTATTATTTTTGACGATTTCATGTCAGTACAACAAAAAAGGCTTTTAGCTACGATTTTGTTAGTGACAATTTCAAAATTCACCGCCAAATGTAACTATTAGCGACGAAATATGAATTTGGTTGTCAATAGTTTCGCGGACTTTCTAATCCTCACACGCGATGGTGGGAAGCAAATTGGCGACGGAGTTAGTGACGATATAATTCGTCATACAATGTTTTTGCCAACGAAAATAAAAAAAGCGATGCCCAAGTTGTTTTGCGACGTAACTATATGTCTCCATAGATACTTTTAAGAGACAAAAATTAAACGTAGCCAAAAGTATTTAGCAACGCAAATGCATGGTGCCATAAAATGTTTTTGGCGACGAAAATATAAAAAAGTAAAAAATGAAGCAAAATCCATCTAGCTATGCAACAGGTTGTGCATCAGGAAACTTTTTTGTGACAAAAATATAAATAACGACACAAAATTCATCTAGCTACGCAACAAATTGTGCATCAGGAAACATTTTTAGGGATGAAAATATAAAAAATGACGCAAAATCCATCTGCCTACGCAACAAATTGTGCGTCCGAAAATGTTTTTGGCAACGAAAATATAAACAACGATGTAAAATCTATCTAGCTACGCAACAAATTGTGCATCAAGAATGGTTTTCGGCAACGAAAATATAAAAAATGATGCAAAATCCATCTGGTTACGCAACAAATTGTTCGCCGGGGAACGTTTTTGGCGACGAAAATATAAAAAACGACGCAAAATTTATCTGGTTACGCAACAAATTGTTCGTCAAGAAATGTTTTTGGCGACGCAAATATAAAAATCAACGCCAAAAACGTTTACTAGCTATCAATACCATTAGGGCATAAGTAAAATTATGTACCTTAATGTGGGCGTTACAATTCTAATTACGTACAAAAACCCTACACACATAAAACATATAAATATATACACAAAACATTGATATACTTTAGTAAACATAAGGTAATCTTGAACAGTGCCGCTAAACTCCTTCACTTCTTGACGTCCCACCCGATCATAAATAATCTAGTACCTGCAAAATAGTAAATTAACGGAGTAAACACTAATTGCTCAGTAAGTAAACCAAACTACACTACTGCGTTTCCTCTTTTACTCATGTTCTGATTTTTCCTTTTCTCACTTTATTCTTTGATTATATTCTTCATTCTTTTCTATTTCTGTTTCTCTTATGCTATATCTCTTTCTCTTCTTTTCGGTTTCTCTTTCTTTTATTTCTTCTTTCTAGTTTGTCGATCGGACTAGGTTGATACATGGATTTGGAACCCTGGCCATGTGAGTGGGTACAATCCTCATCTAAATGCACTACTCACGGACTGTACAAGTACTGTATCTCTTTGCTGTGGCCGCTCGCTCGTGGCAGTGTGCATGTAGGTATGCTCTACTGGGTACAGTCCTCATCTACATACACTACTCACGAACTGTACAAATACTGTATCTCTCTGCTAATGCTGCTCGCTTGTGGCGGTGTGTATGTGGACATCTCTGTCACTCACGAGTTCCCCATCGCAAAAACCTTATATTATAGCATGTTATAGAAATAGAATAGGAAGATATACTATACACATTTCAACATGAATTTCCAAGCTATGGAAATTCTACACTTGCATTCTTTAAAAACATACATTTTTC